AGGGATTGACTTCGAAGAGGTCTACGCCCCGGTGAGCAAGCACACAACGTTGCGTGCACTGCTGGCGGTGGTTGCGGAGCGTGACTTGGAGCTGCATCAGCTGCACGTCAAAACGGCGTTCCTTAACGGGGAGCTAGAGGAGGAGATCTACATGCAACAGCCGCCGAGATACGAGCAAGGTGGGCCGGAGATGGTCTGCCGCCTCAAGCGCCTTGTACGGGTTGCGTCAGGCGCCGCGTGCGTGGCACATACGTCTGAAGGAGGAGCTCGGGAACTTCGAGTTCGTGGCGTCCATGGCGGACGCAGCGCTTTTCAATTTTTGCCTTCTGGTTGTTGCAGTAGATCTGGACCGTTCCGAGGTCCAACTCGAGATCTTCACGAGCTCGCGGAACTACAGCGCCTCCTTCACCGCTTGCGCTGTGGTCATGTACTCCGCTTCTACTGTCGAGGCCGCCACCGTTGGCTGCAGCCTGCTCGACCAGCTCACCGCCCTTCCTTACATCACGAATCAGGAAGACGCACCCCGTTCTAGAGTGCCTCGTGTCCACGTTTCTTGCGTAATCCGCGTCACAATGCCAACGAGAGCCTCCTCGCTCCCCCCGAAGGTTATTCCGTCCTTCCGCCGTCCCCGCCGGATAGCGCACAACCCGAGCGGCGCCCACCAGTGCGCCTCCGTTGGCCCCGCCATGTAGCGCGCAAGCGCGCCCACCGCCTGTACTATGTTCGGCCTTGTGCACACACAGGGTTGGGTGTAGCAGACCTCCCACACACTTGCTGTATGGAAACCGCTTCTTGTCGAGGGGCTCACCCTCTCTCGTTAACTTGTCCCTCGGTCCAAGAGGAATGCTACGCGCTCGCGCGTTTGTTACTACTGTAACGTCCGACCAGCCCCCCCGTTAGCCTCTTCTCGTCAACTCTAGGGTGCCCGCCTTCGTGTCGCGCGTCAGCTCCATTCTGAAGAAGCACGTTGCCTTGTCCAAATCGCGCACGTCAAATTTCTTCGCCATTGCTTCTTCATCTTCGCAATGCGCTCCGCTCCACAGGCCGCCACAAGGATGTCGTCCACCCACACCACAAGGTGGACCGGCTTCCCGGCTACGATCCTGGTGAAAAGTGCTGCGTCCGCCATGGACGCCACGAACTCGAAGTTCTTGAGCTCCTCCTTTAGGCGCATGTGCCACGCACGTAGCGACTGGCGCAACCCGTACAAGGTGCGCTTGAGGCGGCATACCATCTCCGGCCCACCTTGCTCGTATCCTTGCGGCTGCTGCAAGCGACTCCTCCAGCTCCCCGGTGAGGAAGGCCGTTCTGACGTTCAGCTGATGCAGCTTCAAGTCATGCAACGTCGTGTGCTCGCTCACCGGAGCGTAGACCTCGTCGAAGTCAGTCCCCGGATTCTGCAAGGAGCCCTTTGCCACCAGCGGGGGACTTATACCGCTCCAAATAACCGTGAGCGTCCCGCTTAATCTGGTAAGCCCACTTCATGGGACCGGCTTGACCCTTTCCGGTTTTTCGACAATCTTCCACGTCCCAGTGTCCAACAGGGAACGCATCTTGTCGTCCATCATGGACTTCCGCCAGAGGTCTCTCTTTTCTCCCCCTACGGCTTCCTGATAGTTCTCCGTTTCTGGGTGCTCCCACGTTCCTTGAGGTGCTCCCCGCTTCCGCATCCGCCGCCAAATGGGCGTGGTACAACTCTCCAGGCGCGTGTCTCTCATGCGTGAGGTTCCTTTTAGCAGCCAGTGTTGGCATCCCTACTTCCTCCGCAATCTCTTCCGGCTCTCCTCCGCTCTCTCGCAATAATTCCGAAACTTGCCCAATGTTGGTCGGTTCTAGAAATCGTGTGTGCTACGCGGCTGCGGTCCATCGCGGGCGCGTGCGCGTGTACACGCACGGGCGCGGGCGCTGTATCGCGCTCGCCTGCCGCCTCCGAGCAACCCTCTGTGGGGTCGGAACTCAGCTTAACAACTTACGGTGTGCCCCTCGCCCTCGTCAAAATTGACGTGTGGTGCGCCTTTTTACAAACAAGCTAAAATGAGGGCAAGTTTACAACTGTGCGCAAAGACAGAACGGAGCCGGAGAAGATCGAGGAGGATACCAGGATGCACCACCGGTTGCCCACAGGTACCCAGCGCGTGAAGAACGCGCTCCGGAGGAGTAGTACAATGCTAATTTAGCGACGGAACCTGAGGCGGGGGAGAACGTCAAAGGGACGGGGGAAGACCTTGGACTGTAGACCTATCAGAAAGCCGTAGGGCGAGAGGAGAGTGAAGTATGGCGGAAGTCAATGGACAAGGAGATGCGGTCTTGCTAGAGAACGGGGCCTGGGAGCTCGTCGAAAAAACCAGGAGTGGTGAAGCCGGTTCCCATGGATTTACAAGATTACCTACCTAAGCGAAACGCTCTCAGAATGTGGAGCAGTACAAGTCCCGGCTGGTGGCGAAAAGGTACCTGCAAAAGAAGGGATTTGACTTTGTTAGAATTCGGTGATTATGGTCAGTCGAATTACTGAAATTACGGTTTGGACCGACTTAGGGTTTCGACTCAGTGCACATGACGTACGTGCAGGGAAGTTAGGCGGTTGAGAGGACCGTCAATATGAGCCGCAGATGAGTAATATACGGCACAGCTAGAGTGTGAGTGTGATCTGGGCTAGTGAGCCTAGTAGTGTGTTACTTAGGCTAGTGAGCCTCATAGGCTAGTAGCCTAGTGGAAGGAGAGAACCGTGAGACAATGGTAAGGAGAAACACTATTGTCCTAAACCATTTTAAGAAAGGTTTGTGGAGCGAAGGAAGCTGCTTATGAGGCGTTTCGTGTGTTCCTCTTAGGATGCATGGTTGCCGTCAATGCGTGACGAGCATGAGTGCCGGGAACTACGATAAGACCCGATGACGAGCGAAACCTACACAAAGTCAGCCCAATCTCAAAAGACTTTGAGGAAATCTACGTCCCGGTGAGCAAGCACACGACTTTGGGTGAGCTATTGGCGGTGGTCGAGAGCGAAACTTGGAGCTGCATCAGCTGGACGTCAAGACGGCGCTTCTCAATAGAGAGGTGAAGGGGAAGATGTACATGCAATAGCCGCAGGGATACGAGCAAGGCGGGCCCAACATGGTCTTCCACCTCAAGGGCACCTTGTATAGGTTGCGCCAAGTGCCGCGTGCGTGGCACATAAGCATGAAGGAGGAGCTCGGGATTTTGAGTTTGTGGCGTCAATAGCGGACGCGGCACTCTTCACGTCACTAATAGCTAGAGACCGGATCTACCTAGTGGTTTGGGTGGACAACATTCTGATGGCGGACCGCCTTGCAAAGGTGAAGGCGCTTTTAAGGCAGAAGTTCGACGTGCGCAACTCGGGGGAGGCGAAATACTTCCTCGGCATGGAGCCGACGTGCAACAAGGAGGCGCGCACTAAGCTAAAGCAAAAGAACTCGACAGGAGAGCTAGTCCGACGGTACGGACTAGGGAGCCCTCGAGTGCGCAGCGTCACTCTCGGAAGGGGGGCCAATTGACGAAAGAGGGTGAACCTCTCGACACAAAGCGGAATCCCTGCAGTCAGTATATGGAAAGCCTGTTGAACTTTTGTGTGTGCACCAGATCCGACATTGCACAGGCAGTGGACGCGCTTGCGCGATTTTTTGTGAGGCCGACGAAGGAGCACTAGCGGGCGGCGCTTGGGGTTGTGCGCTGCCTGGCAGGTACGGCAGAGGACGGGGTAATCTCTAGGAGAGCGAGAAGACTCTCATCGCTTTTTGCGACATGGATTACGCGGATGAAATGGACATGAAGCGGTCCACAACGGGGTACGTCTTCCTAATGTACGCGGGGGCGGTGAGCCGGTCGACTAAACTGCAGCCAACGGTGGCGGCCTCGACGGGAGGGGCGAATCATGAGCGCAGCGTAAGGGGCGAAGGAGGCGCTGTGGTTCCGCAAGCTTAGGGAAGATCTTGAGTTGGATCGTGGGACGGTCCAGATATACTACGACAACCAAGGAGCAATACGGCTCCTCAAGCACCCGATCGCTTTGCAGCAATCAAAGCACATTGACGTGATTCATCACTTTGCACGGGAGCGTGTGGCACGCAAGGAGGTAGCGTTTGCATACTGCAAGACGGAGGACATGAAGGCGGACATAATGACGAAGGCGTTATCACCGGATTAGGTCCAGAAGTAAAAGAGCGAGATAGAAACTGCACTTGTAAGTCATTAGTACCGAGTGCTGAGATTCGGGAATTTGAAGTGCGCGCGGTCTTTTGGTTACGTCATTAGGAGTTCGACGATAACCGGTATTGAATGCGCACGGGTTACAGCATTACACCCAAATGACTAATTGAGATCACCGCCGTAATGAGTCGGTTACAGCCTTGATTATTCGGACTTGCTTATTCGCGGTCAACTGAGCCTACTAGGCTATCTGTGGAAACCTAGACTAGGATTGTGACTCTACTTGACTTTACTATGAATCGAGCATAGCACACGGACCATATAGCTTTAGCGCCGCTAGACTCCAAACACTCGATATGTACTGTGTGAACTTGATCATTCGATCATTCATTCCCTCCAGCCGATTGCTATGATCTTTTCGCCGCAATCACGTGTAAGAGCTCAAGTTCACACAGTACATATCAAAAGACAATGCTCACAGGGGATCATTCTAAGGGCAAAAAGCTAGGAAGTATTTTTGAACGGCCGGATAGTATCCAATGTCTGAAAATAAAAGTCGGTGACCCTCCTCCGAAAAGGCGACAAGCTTATATTGTAGTGCAAGTCGCCGGGGGCCTTAGAAATCTTGTGGAAGCAAAGTGCATTGCATGCCAAAAATCGATCGAGACTTACGAAACTTCATCATCGATGGTCTGTCCCGTTTGTGGTTGGGCCGCACCAAGGGCACGGGTTAAATTGAAGCAATCGGAGCATAGGAGGTCAAATACAGAACTCGAAAAAGTCAGCCTCAAACAGCTGGTGACTAGCTAAATATTGAGCTTTTGATCAAGGGTAAGCTGAGCTGCAAGATTGAACACGAACATAGTGCGCACGGGGCAGTTATGGTGATTTTCGGCCCGGCGGAACTTTGCCGCAGACCAATATATTTGGGTCGCGCACCGTACCATATTCCGACGAAATCGCGAATTTCGGCGGGCGAAACTGCGGGGTCATGTAGGACCTCGGCGAGTACTTCCCCCGAGAAAGTTCCCATATGCCCCCAATAATTTCTACTTTGTGGCAATGTGCCTTGAAAAAGGGCCTTGACATATCGCATTACAACTGCAAATTTAAGAGACATGTATGTGGGAAAGTTATGCAGCACCTCCATAAGGATGTCGACAAGACATACGGAGCTTTGTAGAGCCATCTCTTAAGCTTTTGTCATGATGCTGGCGCCATTCTTCATCCATGGTGGCTTGAGGCTTGTCCACCATTCTTCTTGCTTCTCTGTGGGAAGGTGGTCTCAATCCAGACCTTGACACTCAAACTCTTAGAGGCAAGAGATCGCCAGGTGGGGGTCATTCCGGTAGGCCAAGGGGGGGGGTCAGCTGCCGCGTTTGGGAAAAACTGAAATGTGCCCCGGGCACTTGCATGTGTCTAGCTGTTAGGTAGAACGTCCGCCCGGTGATTCACAACGGTCACGCAGAATTTCAAACTTGTTACTTTCAGTCACACGTACCTACTGGTAGGTACCAGTACGTGGTACAGTACGCACGGTACCTACCTGGGTACCCATGCAGGCCACTACCGGCATACAAATCAGCTACGGTACCTACCCTTCTACCTGCATACCTAGGTACATACTACATACTAGCTCCAGTACCGTACCGTGCCTATCAATTTAGAAGGTACCGCTACCTTGGTGTACCGCAGGTACCCAGGTAGGCTTTACGTGATAGTCTACCTGGTACCTACCGCCTTGCTGACCCCGGTTGCTTGGTGCACCTCCAAGTGGCACACACCTAGAATGAAAAGTGCACCTACCAGCCTCCAGGTAGGTAGGTAGCAGCATGCGGCCTATAGGCAGACGGGAGGTTCTCGACCGGTGTACCGCTACCGCGGTACCGCCTACGGTACTACCTAGGCAGTGCAGGTACCTAGGTAGTACGGGTACCCCTTATCGGCCGCTCCGGCCCGCCGTAGGTATATACTATACCATACCGTACCTAGAGCATTGGGCGGTGTCACACTTCCTCCGAAGTGCAAATGGCGAAGCTCGGGGCAAAATCGCCCGGGATTTGCCCCAATTTTACGGCATTATTGCGCGCCACATAAAAAGTCCGGGCGCAGTGCCGGCGGGAGCACGGCGCACGGACATGTATTTAATCGTGCGATTTGTCCGCGGTCTTCGCGCGGAACCCGCCGCAATTTTGCCCCGGGCCGAAAAGCACCGTAGCTGTCCCGTGCGCCACCTATTCTATCTAACACCTGCGAAATCGTTGAGAATGTACATGTATCTAGACATGAACCCGTCCATGTCCAGCGATGGCTTTCGTTTTGACAATGCATCAGGTCGAGATCCAATATTAGTTCCATATTCGATTCTTGAAGGCCCTATCCAGATGTTGATGCCAAGTAATGTGATTTGTGCTCACCTTTCCAGAAAACTTGCTAGAGTCACAATCTCGAGGCTTCTGATGATTTCAAATCGACGCCTTTGCCTAAAGGTGCTGAAACATTGTGGAATTATCCGCTATAGCATCTGTAATACAATCATCGTAGGGCATCTAAAAGCTGATGAGGTGGATCAAAGGGATAAACCGCATCGAGAAACAAAGAGCACTTACTCCCAGTTCTTCAAGAGGGTGAGACAATCTTTAGCGGCACCAATAACCAAATGCAATGGCTGTGGTCTATTCACCACTACGCTTGAGCTGTTCTACTTGTGTGTCCGGCTTGTGTGTCCTGAAAAGACGACGAAGCTTTGCTCATCCCCCGAAAGTAATCTATGCAGTTTGTACACTTTTTGTAACGCTCTTTCTAATGCAAGCTTGCAAAGTGACACAGGAGTCCGGAAGCCTTTTATTCTAAGATTTATGGTGAGGGACTGATTGATGTAGTTGCTTACTTGTTATCGGATCTCATTGTGTTGCTCAGCACCCATGCTCAT